TGTGTGTGTGTGTGTGTGTGTGTGTGTGTGTGTGTGTGTGTGTGTGTCCTCTTACTCTTAATAATTCAAAAATACTGCATTATAGAGGCAATTTAATATTTAATAATTAGCTATTTATGATTTCTATTTACAGTTAATGTCCAACTAAAATGAAGAAAACATAAAGAAAAGAAATAATAATAATTCTATTACTGAACTTATTATTATTAATAAGTACTACGCACACACTCTAGGTGTGTTCAGGAATGTGCAGCAGTGAACATTCCTCAAATTCCTCCATCGGGATCATGGGATATGAAGTCTCCTCTCATGGGAACTGTTGGCTTATGATGCACACACACACACACACACACACACACACAGAGAGAGCGCGCCATACTGGTACAGAACCAGGCGGCAACCTCCTTCAAGTGTTAAAGCTGCATTCTCTCTAGTGTCCACCAGGGGGCGACTCCTCTGGTTGTATAGAAGTCTATGAGAAAATGACTCTACTTCTCTCTTGATTTATTACCTGTGTGCGTGCGTGCGTGCGTGCGTGTCAGACAGATTGTATAAACTAGGGCACTAATCCTGTGAGACCTGCTGTGTAATCTAAGAGTATTTTCTAGATTGCGACACATAAAGGAGATTATAAACATCAGCGTCCTGAACGATGAACCTGAAAGTGTTCACGGTTCATTTCCCGTCTTGAGGAGTTCGTGTTTAACGGGTTGATTTTCATGTCGCAGTTTGAATCCTTTGACACGATGCGGTCCAGAGAGAAAATACAAACCGTCTCATTCATGAGCTCAGACTCAATCTGTGAACACCGGAACCAAAGAGAGACGTCTGTGATTGAGATCTGCGGTTCAAACGTTCTTGGTTCCCAGAGGATGAACCCTGATGTCTTCATTTCATCTATTGCCATTCTCTGATCTAAATGTTAATTTACAATACAAAACATTTGAAGACGTCACGTTGGACTTTCTCCTGTTTTATCAGCTTTTATCAATATTTTCTGACAAAATAACCTAATTGATGATGATGATGAATATTGGTTATTTGCAGCCTTAACGTCCAGATCCACTCCTTCTGTTCTTACCTTTCACAATAAAAGCCCCGGACGTACACACGACAAAGAGTCTCAGCCGTCACAGAGGTCACATCTCTGTCACAATGACGAGTTCAAACATTAAATATTGAGTCGTCACTCTCGTGGTGTGTGAAGGCTGTCCGTCCTGATAGTTCACAGTAAGCTCACGTCCGCAGATTCATCGTGTGCACGAGGTCACATTCCAATACCGCCGAGTCAGCGCACCACACACACACACACACACGCATTCCTGGAGCTGCGGCAGCATTCCTGGAGTCTTGTGCTCGTCAGCAGGACAGGGGGTTTGAACCTGCGACCTTCCGGTTTTAGTCAAGTCTCTTTTTTTTTGCGGCCTGAAAATTAATTTTTTACTCGTCTACGTCGTCTCGTAGTTCAGAGGAAAGCGTCTGTAAACATAAACGTGTATATAAAATGATTTAATGATTATTTAAACAATATGTTCACGTGCGTATTAACATAAAATCAATATTTCATTTTTTTAAATATAAGTAATATAAGTAACTTATAAACTAATATAATTCTGGATTAATTGATGCTGTTTTGAATCTTTATTCTACAATTTTAATGTCAGTTTTTAGGCGATGATGTAATTGTCTCTGACTGGCTGTGTCCACTTCCTGTTGTTGACGTTTGTTTTGTAAAGCTGCTCGCTGTCTGTTATGAAGCTACGCCGTCGGAGGAAGCAGCAGGTTTCAGGTGGCGTGCGTCTTCAGGACAGACGCCTCTCTGTTAGCGCTCCAGAGATGAGACGACGCTTCAGTTCTGCTTCATGTTGAGTTATTGTTGTTGAGAGCAGACGGCGAGGGAGCGCTTTGATCCTCATGTTAGGAAATACACCAAATAAAAAACACGCGCCATAACTGGAGGTTTCCTGCCGTCTTCTACTCATAATACGGGAAAGAAGTGTGTGTGTGTGTGTGTGTGTGTGTGTGTGTGTGTGTGTGTGTGTGTGTGTGTGAGCACCTGTTCCTCATTGTGTTTTACAGTTTGTAAGGCGACGCTAAAGAATGCCAGTAAAACCTTTCGGTTGTTTTCTCGCGCTCCCCCCGCTTTGTCTTCCTCCTCCTGAGTTCTCGTCCTCATCCTCACGTCCCGCTTTTTTTTTTTTTCCACACGTGACATATACACATATACATACATACATACATACATACATACATACATGTATGTATGTATACGGGACATTGGCGGCTTCATCGAGCCCTTAAAGTGATGTCTTGTTGTCGTTAAGACGATTATATGTGATATAATGATACAAATAAAGCGTTTACTTTCACCAGATTCTGTCGAAAACAATAAATCGTGAGCTCTTCAACGCAACTATGAAGTCATGATTGATGCTTCATGTATTCATGAGGAAGGTTACATCCTCCTCATCGCTGCTCGCACAACGGACACCTTCAGTTCTTTGAGAAATGCTTTGTTTTCTCTCGTTGTCTCCACGTTGGACGAAGAATCAGAAAAGTCTGGATGAATGGAGGTAAATGGGTTTCATCCATCACTTAATCACTTGTGCATTTATGTTTTTATGAAGTTTTTGCTTTTGTTAAACGCACATTTACTCGACTTCATCCAGACTTTCACTGTTTTTTGATTCTCCGTTCACCGGACAGACGATGAGAGAAGATTTCAAGGTGAGAAACTGATATTCAGACGATGATTTTGTCGGTGAAACATTCCTTAAAGTCACAATGCTTCATGTACATCGTCATTTATTCTTGTTGCATTTTTCTTTTATTGAACTTTTCCTCCTCAGTCAAGAGGAGAAACTCCTTTGTGATATGTTAACGACTGGTTTTTACGCACAAAATGCATTCAAACTACTCACTTAGGGGTACGTGCGCTATTTGGTCTTTTACATAAAATTGGCAAAACATGTAAAAGAGTCTCTTGTTATTGTTGAACCTGATTTCTTCCTCTTCCTCCTCTAACTGTTCAACCTCTGATTTCTCCCCTGAGGACACCTGCAGCTTCGACGCACCGCGACTCATTAAAATATACATGAGCACTAAGTCTCTTACATCCCTGCAACACTCCCTGCATTCATTATTGATGGACACACACACACACACACACACACACACTGTGTTTGCTTCATAAAGGCACCTGTTGTTTGCTGCATTGCACCTCTGTAATGTTTCCCACTGGAAACACGGCAGCTTGTGTTTGGATCCTGTTTCAGTGTTGAAAGTCTTCACAGGTTCAGATACTGAGATGTATTGGTGTAGTATTACACAATGTTTTATGTTTTTAAATAGTCTGAATATACAGAATAGCTGCAGCATTGTTATGGTTTTTATTTATGAGATGATAAAATGTGATTTCTGCAGTGTTGAAGATGTTTTCTGGTCTTGTAGTGAAGTAAAAGTATAAATACTACAGTTATAAGAAGACTAGTATTGCCCCTAGAACGGCCACTGTCCAATCCCGCATTAGCAACCGTAAATAGGCGCGAGAAGATATCGTCAAAGTTTAGAGGAAACGTCGTGTTGTTTCGACTTTCACGAAGCTAAAAAACAACAAAAGAGACGTCTGATATGGATTTAAACCGTGAATCCATCAAAGATCAAGAGAAAAACCACTTTGTTTGCTCCGAGGTAAGAAGCTAATAACGTTAGCTAGCTTAACGCGTTAGCAAACAAAGAGTTTAGAATGTTAGTTAGCATTAATTTATGATATCTAGCGTATGGATCAAGGCCACAGCGGGATAATTCAGATTTATATTGGGTAATAAAAGCTAACGTTAAACATTATTACACTTAAAAAACATTATATTGATATTGTTTGTCCTTCAGGTGAGCGTTTCCCTCCATTTTAACGGCCTATTTATTCACAATACTCCGTTATAATCAAAGTTATATCGTGAATGTATATACTGTATACTGTAGTCCTTTCTGTCTACTCAGTCTCTCGGTTATATCGTTTCAGAGACTAACGAACACTTCAGGGGTGAGTTTCTACTGAACTCTACTCAGAATATTCAGAGAGATGAAACATCAATCAATCCTTCACACATTCCTCTGATCCTCTCGCTCGTCATTGATTCTTCACACACTTGTAGGCTAATCCAGCTAGCTCATGCTACACACACACACACACACCGACTACAAACAGAGACCTGAGCCTTTGAAGTGGTTTCCAGTCTGACAGTAGTTAGCTCCAAGTATAAAACACACACACACACACACACACACACAGAGTGGAGTGTGGGAACGAGTCAGCTGTTTTAATGCAGAACACACACTCCAGTCTCAGGTTTTACAAGGACCGTCGGAGGGGGGGGACTCAGTGGGGCTGCATACCACAGAAGAAGAAGAAAAAGAGAGAGTTTAAAGAGACAAAAGGAAAACAAAAACACTTCTTTTCTTGTTAGTATTTTTAGAAATACTACTATATCTTAAATACAACTCAAGCTAAACACATTAACTCAAGTACTTTATTTTAGATTTGAGGTATAATTTTTGTACTTTGCTTCGTCTCAGAGACAAATATTGTACTTTTACCTTCAGTACATTCGTCAAACAGCTTTAGTTACTTTGTATTTTCTGATTATTAATACAAACTATGATGTTTTATTATAGATTAAAGTACCCAGCAGTAACATTAAAGTGATGAATAGATTAATAAATATAATATGTAGTATTTTGAAATGAGCCATTCTGCTTCATGAGTACTTTTACTTTTGGTACTTTAAGGGGCCGGGTGATTGACAGCTGGTTTTGGGAACCTTTTACCTGCAGTGAATACTTCTCATTTCCAGCACAAACTAGAAAAACATGTAAGAACTTCCTGGTCTGAAATCAAACTATTACATTTTGGTTCAGATGTTCATGTTCCCCTGAGGATGCATCGTTACAACAGAAATAACAATAATCACGTGTCCGATACTTCGTGACCTGCAGACCTAGCCTCAGCCGCTCTTTGTGTTAGCATGCTAACTAAGCGGATGTTAGCATGCTAACACTACGGTGCCTCTACGTCACTCCTCCTCAGTCCAAATATGGTCACTTCCTGTTCACTGGTTGCAAAAAATCCAAGATGGCGACGGCCAAAACAGAGAACTCGAGGCTTCAAAATATCGTCCACTTCTCTCCCTCTGTCTCTCTGCCTTTATCTTTCTATGTCTCTCTCTCTTTCTGTCTCTCACTTTTTTTGTCTCTCTCTGTCTCGCTCTCCCCCCTCCCTCCCTCCCTCAGAGAGGCATGTCCCTACGTGTTCTCGTGGAGGTCGCTCTACTCTCTGAACACACAGAGAGAGAGTCAGAGAGAGAGAGAGCGAGAGGGAGAGGGAGAGTCAGTCCTCTTCAGCGGATCCTGAAGCAGCAGCACGAGCTCCACACGGACTGGTTCCGTTCCTAAACTGATCGGTTTCTACTAATCGATGGACCGGATGGATCGTTGACTGTCGGACATTCTGCTCTTGGATTAAATCTCTCTTCATTTACATATTTTAGTAGTTATACACAAATATTTTTATATTGCTCGGTCTCGAGGGCAGCCATGGGTTTCTACGGCAGCTTGAAGCTCATCTTCTACAAAGTGAGTATCGATCAGTGACGTCAGCAGCTGCGGTTTCATCTCTGTCCTTTTTATTTTTTATTTTTTTTCATTCCGTTGAAAGGCTGCGTCGCGCGGTGTATCAGGGCTCGTCAGGCTCGCGCAGCACCGAGATGACGAGGCGTTTCTCCCTGACAGCGGAATGCCTCGGCGGCGCGTGCGCGCGTCGGTGTGCGCGTGTGGACCACTGCGGAACCGAGAGAGAGAGAGACCACTCATTCCATGTCTTTGATTATTGATCAGCTGTCAGTGTGTCTGTACACTGAACCAGTGAGCAAGGCAGCGTGGAGGGTTTGAATCCCTGTTAAAATGTGCTTAATTACAGATGAATGAGCTAATATCTATAAATTAAATCAAGTAGAACCTGAGTATCTAATGCTTATCAAAAAGTTAAATCCTCTTAAAAACTGTATTTTGGGGTAAATATGGTGTAAAAACTATGAAAATGATTTAAAATCAGACAGAACTTTCGTGTCTAATACTTGTTCATCCTCACAGCTACAAACCACAAGACTCAAACCTTATAAATGTAAATGTTTTGCTTCCTCACACAGTGAAAACACAAGTAAACGTGGATACTACACTGTGAGGCTGCCGTAAACTCGTATTTTGGGGTAAAACTTTGTGTAAAAATCTATTTAAATCTACTAGAAATTCAGTATTCAGTGCAAATTTATCTTTACAGATTCAAACCGCAAGATTCAAACCTTAGAAATCGTAATGTTTTGCTTTCTTACACCATGAAAACGCAAGTAAAAGGGGAATATTACACATTATAAAATAGCAAAAATACTATAAAAATGATTTAAAATCAGACAGAACTTTCGTGTATAATGCTTGTTCACCTTCACAGCTACAAACCACAAGACTCAAACCTTATAAATAACATGTTTCACTTCCCCTCACTGTGTAAATACAGATTATAGAAGCATATTATCACTCATAGGTCACAGTTCAGCCTCTTCTCGTCATCATATCTCATTATATTAATGCTTCTAAATGTCTCAGTATAAAGTCTCTACAGTAACACTACTGTGAGGACAACATACACACACATATAGAAGTGTTAAAGTGTATTATGGAGATTTTCACTTAAAAACACAGACGATGGTCGGAGGTCGCAGGTTCGATTCCGTCCTCGGTGCAGATATTACAGACTGAAACATTCAGTCTTCTTTGTATTTTATTTTGAAAAGCCAGCACAGATTATGCAGCCAGTTGTGATGCCGAGAGGAAGGAGGACGCACACATGCTGTCCTGTGCATCCTGTGTGTGTGTGTGTGTGTGTGTAGCTGCCCGTTAGCGCGTGCTGCTCTATTTTAAACCGGTGCTGCACCGGCGACATTCCTGTGATTTTCTGCATTCCTGCGTTCATTCACTGAGAGAGGAGCTGATTCAGACCTCTGGATGGTTGCGTTCGTGTCCCTCTACCAGCGTAGGTGTTTTCAACGTCGAGTATCTCTTCATTAACGCTGACTTCACACAAACATTCGTGGCTCCGGAGCTTCTCTGGTGTTTCCTCAACACGTGTCAACGTGTCAACGTGTCACTTCAACGTGTCTCAGATGGTTTATTGCCAATCAGCGTCTCACATGCGAGGGATTTTCCTTTTCTTGTTCATAACGGTCATCTTTATAGCTTCACACTGCAAGATTAAGACATTCTAAATGTGTCTTTACGTTGTGAGAACACAAGTTAAAGAGGGATGTTACACAGTACAGCTGCTGAAAATGGCTTTTTGGGGTGAAATATGGTGAATAAACAACATAAATCTGTGATTTTATTAAAACAATACACAACTTAAGTATCCAGTGCTGGTTTGTCTGCATAGCTTCAAACTACAAGAATAAAACCTTAGAAATTGACTACGACACAGTAAATCCAGATACAAGTTAAATACATTGTATTACATTCAGATATATTTCTACCACACTGTCTCACCGTTTCTTTGTCTTTCCACCGTTAGATGAAGAGGAAGTTGGATCACGGTCCAGACGGCCGTCCGTTCCCTTCAGGCAAGAAGCGCTGCAAAGGAAAAGCATACCTCAGGTAACGCCATGTTTAGATATGATACAAACAACAACAACTTTAAACCTTTAAACCTACTTTGAGATGCTAACTGCTGCAGATGCTAACGTCCCTCTCTCTGTCTCTCCCTCTCTCTCTCTCTCTCTCTCCCTCCGTCCCACAGTCCTGCCAGTCTGGTTCAGTCCACCACACCGACCACGTTCGGTGACCTCCGGTTGGCCAATGGGCACTCTGCTCAGCGGCGGCGCGTCACCTCCGGCCCGCCTCCCTCCGGCCTGCAGGACTGGCTTCACACCTTCCAGGTCAGTTCTTTAAACCCCCCCCCCGTACAGAAATCGTCCAATCACAGCTCAGTAACCGTCGGTGTGTTGTTATTAGCATTCCCAGCTAACTAGCTAACAACCTATAGCTTCTCCTCCGTTCTCATTCGAAGCTGTGGCTACAAAAAAAACAATGCACCGGAATTTGTAAATATCCGCCAAAATGATTCCGTACGTTAACCACGCGATCATGAACGAGGAAGTATAAAGATCGCAAAAGCTCACAGAGTGGATTGGTCCAACAAACGTGTCTTTTTGACCCAGCAAACCGCGGTTCGCTCCCCGTGTGGAACAGGAAGTTAACATTGATTTATTTGTCACGTAACGACACTCCCATAGTTATGTTAAGGTTTACTAAGTATTTCACGATCTTTTTCTAGCTAGATAGCTACATCAACAGCTGTCATTAGGCTGTAAATAAGACGCTGCTTTTGTCTACTTCTGTCTGATTGTTTGAAAGAATTTCTATGAATTTTTAATGGTAAATCTGTCGTTATCGTCGTAGAATATATTAATCACGTAACGGTAACCTAAAGGGAGCGCGGGCTTTGATGAAATGTAAATCACGGTTCATACTTTAAACCAATCATCCCACGTTATACAGCTTGTGTCACAACAGATACGTGTTAAACCTGATGGGTTTGGAAAAAACTACACTCGGATAGAATTAAACACACTCAGTAAAAGTGTGTTTGTGAATATCTTCCGCTCGCTGCACGTAAACACGGCGCGCTAGAGGAGTGCTGCCTCCCAGCTGTTCTTATATAACACTAATAATAAAAACATAGGAGGACAAACAGACTGTACGAACTCTTTTGTAGCTCGGGGGATGAAGTTATAATGATGCTCTTCCTCCTCGTCGTCCTCGTCCTGCAGGCCTGGAGCGGTCCTGAGAGGCTGCTGGCTCTGGACGAGCTCATCGACAGGTGTGAGACCAGCCAGGTGAAGCACATGATGCAGGTGATCGAGCCTCAGTTCCAGAGGGACTTCATCTCCCTGCTGCCCAAAGAGGTACGACACGTATACCATGTCGTATAACGTTATTTATACTGCACCTTTAAAGTGCTTTGACGGACAAAGTTATCATGTTATCATCTGAACTAGTCGTTAATATAACGTGTGGTATCTTGTTATCAGCTGGCTCTGTACGTGCTGACCTTCCTGGCTCCCAGAGACCTGCTGCAGGCCGCTCAGACCTGCAGGTACTGGAGGATCCTGGCTGAGGACAACCTGCTGTGGAGGGAGAAGTGCCGCGAGGAAGGTAAACAAAACACACTGTACACAGTACTAACACAGAGAGGAATGAAAGAGTGAAGTTTGGTGAATGTAAGAGCTGCTGAAGTGGAGATTTATCATCAGAGTCTGAGAACAAACTCATTTAGAGGAAACGTCCTTTAAAGAGACGTTTAGTTCCATTACAGACATTTAGAGACTCTACAGGTGAACACATGAACTCATAGATATCACCATGAAACTTCACCACTTCATCACTCACATTAAGAAGACTCTACAGGTGAACACATGAACTCATAGATATCACCATGAAACTTTGACCTTTATATGAACACAGACATTTCAGACGATTTATGTTTGTATGCGTTTGCAGAAAGGTCTTACTAATGTGGCTCATTTGTTGAAGCTGTTGTGACCTGGCAGACAGAGAACAGGGACTCAGTTGGTGTGTTGTTTTTCCACCTGAGGGGAAATGCAAACAGAATGAGCTGACTGGATGTACAGTTCTTTCTGAGTGTAACATGCAAATACAGCTACACACAGCCAGTCAGTCACTCCTTCATTCAGCGCAATGCAGTGGCTGTGTGTGTGTGTGTGTGTGTGTGTGTGTGTGTGTGTGTGTGTGTGTGTGTGTGTGTGTGTCCGTCCCCCCTGGCGTTCTGCCAGTCAGCCGAGATTCACTGCCAGCACTCGGCAGCCATACCAATGAGCCTACCTAGCGTTAGCACCACACCACAGCCATACTAATGAAGCCGGCTTCTTAAAATAATCCTGATTTGTATTTACGCTGTTGCTCCGCTGTCACACCGGTGGGACCGCCGCTGGCATGAGCCGGCACTCGGTGAGAATATGAATGCAACTAAACCTGCATTAGCAGAGTGCCAGTTACATACTAATGAAAGCTAGCTCGCACTAAGTAGTAGTCTGTAACAAAGCAGTTATCTTTATTTAGTTATCTTTAGTCAAAAGATTATATTTTATCTTACAGACCTTTTTGAGGACATAAACATTCTGAATGGGTCCCTTTGTGTTTCCTGTTACAATGTTTGTTAATGCAGTAGCCATAGAAATAAAAAAGGAAATCAAATCAACGGTACAGCATGGTGGGATTAACAAGCTAACTAGCTAACCAGCCAGACGCGATATAATTACAATTTTAACAACTTAATGATGCTTCATCCACACACTCTTTCACGGCGTAGGAAAGCACATTGTTATCACCAAATGAGAGAGAACTTTGTTAGCCACATTTTCTGTAATCAGTGTAGCATTAAAGCATGGTGGCATTAGCAAGCTAACTAGCCTGACGCTAAATAAGTAAACTTTTACAATTGAATGCTTCATCCACACAGACTTGTCATGGCGTACGAAAGCACATTGCTATCGCCAGATAATAGACAACCTTTTTTAAGCTAATTTTCGGTAACCAGTGTAGCATTAAAGCATGGTGGCATTAGCAAGCTAGCCAAAAGGCTGATTAATGGAGAACAGCGGGCTGGTGGTCAGTGGCAGAGCTGGGTCTAACGGTCCCTACTTCTCACTCCCCGCCGCTCTGGAGAAGGATACGCTAGCCAGCTAAGTAGCCGACAGCTAGCGTCTGCTCTCTTCCGATGCATCAGGGAACTTGATTAGCTTATCTTTATTAGCCTCGTTGTTTTGGATAGAAGGGTCGATTGCGTAGCCCCAGGTTTTGAAATATCTGAATACACGCTGAGAAAAAAACAGAACAAAGTCACTTTTGCGAAGATGTAAACAGTGAATTTTTGCCATTTTTACTTACTGTCTGTCCTCCTCTCCCCAGGTGTGTCAGAGTATGCGTCGTGTCGTCGCAGGAAGTGTTCGCGGCCGGGTGTGGCGGCCAGTCCGTGGAAGTCGGCCTACATTCGACAGCACCGCATAGAGAACAACTGGAGGAAGGGGGACACGGGAGAACCCATGGTACACCGTCGCACCGGTTCAGCTGAACACGCCGAGCGTTTGATATGTAAACACCAACCGAGTGTCATTAAACCTGTTTTTTTTTTTTTTCTCTCTCTGCAGGTGTTGAAAGGTCACGACGATCACGTGATCACCTGTCTGCAGTTCAGCGGTGACCTCATCGTCAGCGGCTCCGACGACAACATGCTCAAAGTCTGGTCCGCCGTCACCGGAAAGGTAGGACGCAGTGTGTCTGCAGAGACGAGATGTATTGACTATGGAAACCAGGATTTTATAGCAAACAGTGTAGTATTATTTTAGTGGTCAGTGTAATTTAGAAATCAGTTTCATAAACGTGGTGATTTGGTGCGTAGCAATAAACGAGAGACAAATAGTAAAAAAACACGTTTACAATGGAAACATGTTTTTAAATTGGAGGAGCTGTACGGTTTGTCTAAGAATGTGCAAAAGTAAACATTATTTATTCAAAATAGTTTATTTGTGTTATTTTGCGCGCCTTAATAAATCTGTTTTACGACAGCGCTATGAAGCCAAAATACAGATTTTTGCTTTGATTTAACTGCAGCAAACGGATCAAAAGTGATGCCGAAATAACTTCATGATGACGTTGATTTGTAAAAAGTCTGAATTCATGTTTTGTTAGTTTTCTCTCCGCAAGACGACAAGCAAATAACTTTTAAAATGCTTGTTTTCTGAATGGAGTTTGCATCGATCAGCGCTAGGCTAAGCTAACACTGTAGCTGCTCCATCGACACTCAAAATAACGTCATATTGGCGTAAATACGACAGCAAATTCTATTGTTTATACACACAAAAAAGTGATCATTTAAAATGGTTGTTATCGATGAAAGGTTTTCACAAATACAATAATTATATCCTCCATTTCTTCTTGACAAACGTGAAGACGTCATAAGAATCTCAGCGTTGATCGGCTTCTGCGACACATCGGTGAAAAATTTGCGTGTTTGAATTGACTTTGTACGTAATCGTGTTTTTACTACAACCACCGTCAGTACTTATGTTTTGTATCGTTTCCAGGTTGTGAAACAATGATTCCTGTCATGAAAAGTCCAACCTGTCAAACACGAATTTGTACATTGTCGGTTGATGAATCAGAGTCGCACAAACGTTAATTAATCCAGTTAAACACGGTTCACATGTTGGAACGAGACCAAAGAGTCGGAGCCTGAAAGTGAAGCAGCTGAATGGAATTCATTCTTCATCGATCTTAATCTTTGCACCTTTTCTTACTGCAACATGTCAACATGTCTAAAGGGGGAAACTCGATCACATTCACTCCAAATATCACCAGACTTTCTGTTAAATTGTGTTAAATTGAATGTGCTTTTATTTTGATAATCCAGTAATGGAAAACATTCTTTTTTTCTTAAAGACAAAAAAAAATTGTTTAATCCCAAATATGAGCTGCGCTGAGTGTTGCATTTAGAAGTCACCGTGCGTGATGAATTAGAGTAGAGTAGATTAGAGGCTTTTTAATGTAGGTCAACTGAATATTAGAATATAAACTATAAAGCTTATGTGGCCGGATAGAACTGACAGCAGTAGATTAGTTTTAGGCGGACCAGTTGTGTTAGTCAGGGTGTGTCGGAGAGACGTTTAAAAACACTCTCTATACACTGACAGCCTGGGGCTCTGTTTGGATCTTTATGTGTGTTAAAGGTGGAGAAGCTCTCTCTCTCTCTCTCTCTCTCTCTCTCTCGTTTTAAGCGTATATCTGTTTACTCTCCTCCGTACGTTTGAAGTAGGGTTATATAAAGTACTTCTCAGTAGTACCATAGATGGAGAAACGGACCGGAGTACCAGCAGGGGAGCAAAGAAAATGTACTGATGTGGAAGTATTCTAGACACCTGAAAAACAAAAAATCAGTTCAAGTGTTTTAATATAGTATATTTTCCTGACTGGAAGCATCACAAACGTGTGCACCAGGACAGGAGGGCTCTACAGCAGCTGATTGAAACCTATCTGCCGAATATTAGCCACATTCTCTAACCGGACACACCTGCTCTCTCCTCCGTCTAGACCTGCCCTTTAGAGTGCGTGAGTGCGTGAGTGCGTGAGTGAGTGAGTGAGTGAGTGAGTGAGTGAGTGAGTGCGTGAGTGAGTGCGTGCCCTGCAGAAAGAAAAACACACATCTGTAGCCTGGAGGGATGACGGGACGTGTTTCCGCTCGTCCGCTCTTGAATGTATCACCTGGATTATCAGGACGTGATGATCACAGTAGTAACGGTAGTAACAGGGAGTTTCAGGGAGTACTGCAGTACCCCCCCTCCCCCCCCCTTCTGTCTGCGCAACAGTTGCCAAGGCAAAATAAAAAGGTTTCCTCTGTTGCGCAGCAACCAGCATTACAACACCTTCAAGGTGAAACTGAATTCTCTCTCTTCAAGAGTGTATTGAATATTCACACACACACACACACACATTTATACACACACATTCAGAGGACATACATGCCAAGAACACACTTCATGTGATTGATGATGTAATGGGTATTTACACAGAAATTGTTGTGATACATGAGTGAATTTATTACTTTTAAAACATGGTTTTCTGGTTTTTCTCATATTTTTTTTTAAATGTATTTATTTTATAATTAATTCAGTTTTTAAAAATCAAATTTAATTAAAAAACGACAAAAAAAGAAGAAATCTCATTATCATTCACTGGTTTTGAAATATTATCATTAATTAAGATTTATTTAATTCATTAATTGTATTTATACGTAAACATTAGCAGCGATTGAGTGTGTGATAAAGTCCACAAAGCTTGAGGGGTTCAAATCCTACATCTCCCATAATGCACCTGTCTTTCTTTAGACCCTCTCTTCTCTGGAAACACCAATGTCTTTCTAACTCCGGGTCAGTTTTTAACACAGATTTTTTTTAACAAAAAAAAAGAAAAGACAACCCTCGATGACATCACTGTGACATCACTGTGACATCACCACCACCACACGGATGACATCACAGTGACCCTGGTTAATGTCTCCGCCTCTCTCAGTGCCTGCGGACGCTGACGGGTCACACCGGCGGCGTGTGGTGCAGTCAGATGGCCGACGCCACGGTGATCAGCGGCTCCACCGACCGGACGCTGCGCGTGTGGGACGCCGAGAGAGGAGAGTGTGTCCACACACTGTACGGACACACCTCCACCGTACGCTGCATGGGTCTACACGGGAACAGGTAACACACACACACACACAACCTTCACTCTCACACCAATAAGACGACCTCTAGCTGCCCCCTGATTGTCTGACGCAGCAGTAATCCTCCCCCCCCCTCTCTGTCTCAGGGTGGTATCGGGCTCTCGGGACACGACGCTGCGCGTGTGGGACGTGTTGACGGGCCGCTGTGAGCACGTGCTGACGGGACACGTGGCCGCGGTGCGCTGCGTCCAGTACGACGGGCGCCGCGTGGTGTCGGGAGGCTACGACTACATGGTGAAGGTGTGGGACCCCGAGACGGAGGCGTGTCTGCACACGCTGCAGGGACACACCAACCGAGTGTACTCACTGCAGGTACACACACACACACACACACGACATCATCACCTCGAGTGATGTCACGTGAGTCGGTTAAAGACGGCGAGTTTACAAAATAAAAACTAAATGTGGAGTTTAAAAAGAAGTGATCGCTGATAGCTGCTACTAGCATAACACAAGCTGTCAATGGTTCTGATGCATTGTGGGTAATGTAGGTGCCAGGTAATAGTGTATTTAAGTAAAAGCCTTAAATTATTCTACTGAATTAAAAGGAGTTTCTAAAATATTTAAAAGTATAAATGTGTAAAATCAAACTTCTGTGGATCCTTAAACTCTCAGATTACATTGAAACCAGATGAGAAGAGATCAACGAGTACAAGTACTGAGGTAGAAGAAGTTCAGCGTCTGTATGTACACGCTGACATATCGGTTACCTAAATATGAAGTGCAGATGTCAGTACAAGAATAGACGGTAGTATAAATACGAGTACACGACAGGGATACTGTGATGAGGCTTTTTTATCTGCTCGACTCTTATTCACATCTTTATACTTTATAATCTGATCTTTCCTTTTTTAATATTTAATATACATATCAACCCTCGAGATGCACATATAAAGAAAGTATTAGAATACACTGTTTTTTTTTTTTTTTAAAGTTAAAGTTAGGATGTTATTGTCATATACACATGTATGAAATGTGACTTCTGCATTCATTCATAAATGTATATTTCTTGTGTGTCTGCAGTTTGACGGCGTGTTCGTGGTGAGCGGCTCGTTGGACACTTCTATCAGAGTCTGGGACGCAGAGACGGGTAGAGACACATTTATTTACATTATTTAAACATGTACTTTACACTCACACAAAATAGTTATTATTAAAAGTAATGTACAGCTTAGAAGAGGAATGATGATATACAGTTTAAATTACAACTACAGAAGTATAAAGTCGTTGACGTTAAGTTAAACGTCACGTTGTTAGAATGAGTTCATGAGGAGTTAAACCACTCGTTCCTGTCCAGGTGCGTGTGTTCACACGCTGACGGGCCACCAATCGCTGACCAGCGGCATGGAGCTGCGTGACAACATCCTGGTGTCCGGGAACGCCGACTCGACGGTCCGAGTGTGGGACGTCCGGACGGGACAGTGTCTCCACACGTTGCAAGGTGAGGACAAGAAAACAAAAGAACAAGGAGAACAATGAGAACTCCATTTAGTTGTCGACTCGGCGTTAAAACACTCTTTAGTCCTCCGGGAGAAAGAGAGGAAACGACACAGAAAGATGAGAGAGAAGAAGAGCAGAAATGAGAATAAAACCTGAACTAAAGGTAGTTCATTAAAGAAAGTAAAAGTACTAATACTACAGTGTACAAGTACTCTGTTACAAGTAAACGTCCTGCATTTATAACTCTACTTAGTAGAAATACAAGTATTGGCATTAAAATAAACTTATAGTACGCATGCAGAATAATATAATGTGTGTATACAGTTGCTGGTCATATAATTAGAATATCATCAAAACGTTGATTTATTTCACTAATTCCATTCAAAAAGTGAAACTTGTCTATTATATTCATTCATTACACACAGACTGATATATTTCAAATGTTTATTTCTTTTAATTTTGATGATTATAACTGACAACTAAGGAAAATCACAAATTCAGTATCTCAGAAAATTAGAATATTGTGAAAAGGTTCAATATTGAAGACACCTGGTGCCACACTCTAATCAGCTAATGAACTCTAAACACCTGCAAAGGCCTTTAAATGGTCTCAGTCTAGTTCTGTAGGCTACACAATCATGGGGAAGACTGCTGACTTGACAGTTGTCCAAAAGACGACCATTGACACCTTGCACAAGGAGGGCAAGACACAAAAGGTCATTGCAAGAGAGGCTGGCTGTTCACAGAGCTCTGTGTCCAAGCACATTAATAGAGAGGCGAAGGGAAGGAAAAGATGTGGTAGAAACAAGTGTACAAGCAATAGGGATAACCGCACCCTGGAGAGGATTGTGAAACAAAACCCATTCAAAAATGTGGGGAGATTCAGAAAGAGTGGACTGCAGCTGGAGTCAAGCCACTCTTGAACAACAGACATATATATATATATATATATTTTCTGACTTGGTCTCGTGTCTCTTCAGGTCCCATGAAGCACCAGTCTGCGGTGACGTGTCTCCAGTTCTGCAGAGGTCTGGTTCTGTCCAGCTCCGACGACGGGACGGTCAAACTGTGGGACCTGAAGACCGGAGCCTGGCTGAGGGACGTGGTGGCCCTGCAGAGCCGGGGATCAGGTACTTATTTATTTTCTTTGTTTTATATATTTTATTAATTGTATTTTTATTTTAAATTTTTATATATATATTTTTTTTTAATTATTATTTTTTTAATATATATATATATATATATTTTTATTTTTTATTATTATTATTTTTTTTAAATATATATATATTTTTTGTATTTGTTTTGTTTTATTATTTTTATTTTTATTCTAGCCGTATAAGTCACATTGTTAAGTCTTGTAAACAGGAACTATTTTATTCATTTTTATTTGTAATATTTTATATACTTTGTCTTCCTTGTTTTCTCAACCAATCATGCGTCTCTCTGCTCTCCTCAGGCGGTGTCGTTTGGCGAATCAGAGCGTCTGACACGCGGCTGGTTTGTGCCGCCGGCAGCCGGAACGGAACGGAGGAAACAAAGCTGCTCGTTCTCGACTTCGACCTCGAGGACCAGAAGACGAAGACGGAGACGGAGTGAAGAAGAAGAAGAAGTTTATTCTGTTGAACCAAAGTTGAACAACAACAACAACAACAACAACAACAACACCTGGACGGACAAAGAAACGTCTCCGCCGGTTTGAATGTAACGAGCGGAGAAACGAGGGTTTTGACTTTTCCTGAACTCAACGACGCCGTTTAAAAACAAAACAAAACCAAAATGTTGAGCGACGGAGACGAGCAACGCTGCTTTCCAACCCAGCAGTCGCTCCGTCTCTTTGTTTTGTTTCTTTCCACCACAGTTGCCGGTGTGAAGTTGCCCGTCTCCGTTGCTGTAACGTGTCAGGAGAACGCTGGCCGTTAGTTCTCTGGTGAAACCGTGAAACCAGAACGATGGAACCACAAGAGGAGCCGAGCGACCGCGAAACTAAACCTCGCTTCAGAGTTTTTAACGTTGAGATAAAAAGCATTAATTTAAAGACGTTTACAGGTTCACGGCACGTTGAAGCGCTCATGTTTTGGTGATTTATGGCGCCGTAGCGTCATAACTGAAGCTTCCCTGAACACTAAATCACAACATGTATTAATTAATCCTTATTCATTTGGATTAACAGTCATTTTCTTTAGACCCGTATTCATAGATTTCACTATTTATTCCTTCAAAGTTGAATTAAAATCAGAGAAAAGCAGATTTAATGAACCGACTTTACTCTTAAACCTGCTTTTTATATTATTCTTTACAAATTAAATCACTTTTTTCGGGGACTCCTGAGACGCTTTTACTGTAATTTAGCAAAAAAAAATCAATATTCAGAAAGATTAAGGAAGCAAAGAAAGGACGTTTGATTATATACACAACCAAGCACCTTATTGATCAATTAAATCACTTCTAATTCATTAATATTTCACTTTGAGAACAATCTGGAATATTTCACAAAATAAACAATATAAAATTAAAATGAGTTTAAAACACTTTAACAAGAATTAATTCCACTAAATACTTCAATGTTTAAATCTAAATTACCACTGAGTTATAGCATTAATATTACACTTTGAAAACATCTGTATTCATGTTGTTTTTATATATGTATAATGATTTATATGTCACAATATCAGAAATATCAAAATGTGTTATTTTGTCCTTTCTGAGCTTCCGTAGACCCTTTGACTCTAAAAACCCAAATCTCTGAAACGGTCTCACCTCGTGTTTCTCCTCTTATGAAACATTTATTAAAGATTTAAAATCTACAACTCAACAGATATTAATCCAATATATATATATATATATATATGTGTATATACAAGCTGCCGTTGCTAGGCAACAGCTCCAGCCAATAAGCGAGAGTCCTGGGCGATGTTTCGCCCGGCAACAGGCGGCGTTTGAGGCTCCGATGACGTCTTTGTAAAATACTGTAAATATGAAAGATGTAAATATTCAGCTTTTTATAAGAATCAGAGAAAATATTGTTGAAAGATGAATGTGTACGAATAAAGATGAGTTTTATAATAAACATTGAGTGACGTGTTTATTCTCAGATATATGAAGTACTATATGAAGTACTTTATTTAATATGTTTTTGTTTTTTACTGAAAGAACAAAGAATAACTTTTAATATTTAACTTTTATTAAAGTTTTGACTCGGTTGCAGCTTCTTTGGTCGTATTTTGTGGAAAGTACATTTACTCCAGTACTGTACTGAAGTACATATTTGATGTACTTGTACTTTACTTGAGTATTTCCATTGCATACAACTGTATACTTCTACTTCATTAATTCATTGGAGAAGCACGTCAGCCGTTCTGTGAGTGACATTTTAAATGTAGTTATTCACACTTTATATTTATTCATTATTATTCTGAGAAAAACAAATTATTTATTTTGTCAAACTGCTAAAAGTGTTCAAGTAAAAGTGAATAATTGTAATAATTATGCATATATTTTATTTGAATAGTTTACTGTCTTCTCTTCTACTCGTTGACGTAGTTTTGAGTGATAAATTATATATTTTTATAATATTTTGTTTGTGATTAATCTGCATTATTTTACAGGTTTGTAATTTACTAAATATTTATTTTATGTTTCCTGTGAAGGACTTTAGTTAAATAAGTACATTTACTACTGTACTTAAATACAATTTTGAAGTACTTGTACTTTGAGTATTTCTGTTATGCTACTTTATACTTCTACTCCACTGCATGAGGTAAATATTGTTATTTATTCTCCTTTGAACTACGTTCGTCCGTTCTGGGCTTCCGTAGCAACATGGCGGACTCCGTGAAGACGACCCTCTGTACGTAGATATAATAACTATAAACTCTAAAATAGTTCTAAAATTATACAACACGAAGGCTGAACTAGATAAATTATGAAAATAATCACTGAATAAAGTGAGTAAATAAGTGAAAATAAAATAAGGTTGAAGTCAAAGATCTGAGAACTTCTATTTTCTTTATGATTAGAGCCGTTGTTTAATTATTACACTTTTTAAATATGTTGAAGGTATTTTAATCTGATCAGCTGCTCGTGTTTAAAATAAACTAAACAAACAAATCAACATGAAGAAGAACGTTTCTATTAATATCTGAATAATGAATAAATATTAAATATAAATCAGTGTGTGTGTGTGTTTGCAGGTAAGCAGCAGCTGAAAAACATCTCATCTATTACCCATGAGGCTTTGCAGCTTGTTGACAGCACAATGGTGAGTTCCCTCAGGGCTCAGGTAGAGCACACACACACACAGTTTTAGACACCAGTACAGTGTGTGTGTGTTCTGACCGTCCAGACATCTTAATGTTGACAGAGTTGGATTTGTTGCAGAGCTCTTGCGTTGCATTGCATTCGATTGTGCAGACGTTCATGTTATATTGTCCACCTCTACTCTGTATGTGTGTGTGTTTGATCGTGGTTGGAAGCAGAGAGGAAGATGACACGGGTCCTCTGTGTTTCCTGACAACACACACACACACACACACAGCTACAGGCTCAACATACATAATCAATTCACCTTCACTGTGGACCAGAAAAAATGTGTGCGTGCGTGCGTGTAGATGATTAAAATGCACAATAAAGTCGAGGTAAAGCACTCCACTTAAGTAGCAGCTAGTGAAACAATGAAAACATCAGGCTGGGACTCATTAATGTGTGTGTGTGTCACAGATCAATGTAATTCACTAAGTGCTGACCCCCCCCTCCTCCCGCCCTCTTTAATTGTATTTCAATAAACTTTATGTGTGTGGCTCCCTCTAGCGGTCAGACGGCTGAACTGCAGTGTTCTGATTCATTATTCTCTACTCTCTCTGATTAGTGAATAGAGTATTAATACTCTGATGCCTTTACATTTATACTCGTGCAATCATATTTATTCTAGTGCAATCATTTAAATAAATTTAGTGCAAAAATTACATTATATTGCAATAATTAAATTTATTCTCTTGCAATAATTATGTTTCCGTACAATAATTACTCTCATAGTGCAAAATGACACTATTTATTTATTTGACTTGTTATTTTAGGACCTGTCTGTGTTTGATTACTGTCTCTTTAATTCGTTGTATTCTGAACAATAAGAATAAATATTTCTATCTTTTATTTATTAGTTTGTAAACATGTAAACAACTGTTTCCTGCTCTCTGAACCTCGTTTATTCTTCTTTTCTATCTTTGAAGAAAGTCTCATTCTGAGCCGTGTTGCTTTGAAACACATTTAATGAACAACAGAGGCTAACGACAGTCCGGAGGCTAACGATAGTCCGGAGGCTAACGACAGTCCGGAGGCTAACGACAGTCCGGAGGCTAACGACAGTCCGGAGGCTAACGATAGTCCGGAGGCTAACAACAGTCCGGAGGCTAACGACAGTCCGGAGGCTAACGATAGTCCGGAGGCTAACGACAGTCCGGAGGCTAACGATAGTCCGGAGGCTAACGACAGTCCGGAGGCTAACGATAGTCCGGAGGCTAACAACAGTCCGGAGGCTAACGACAGTCCGGAGGCTAACGATAGGCTAACGATAGGCTAACGATAGTCCGGAGGCTAACGATAGTCCGGAGGCTAACGATAGGCTAACGACAGTCCGGAGGCTAACGATAGGCTAACGACAGTCCGGAGGCTAACGACAGTCCGGAGGCTAACGGAGGCACAAACAGTCGAAAGTAAACAAATAAACAAATCATCCAGAAAAACATGAAACCAAACTTTAGAAAACGTAGTTTTCTCCTCAGAAGTCCTTCTGGCTTTGAACTCCTCACGACCAATAAAACGTCTTTAAATGTGTCTATATGCAATTCATCAATACTGATTTTCAAAATAAAAGCGCCATTTAACAAAAACCTTGAGATATGTCCAGGTTTTTTTTTATAGTAATTTTGTCTTCTCCGGAGCAGAGAGGAGGTCCTGGTTCAGTCCGGTCTGGTCCGGATCACCTGATGGTCCGGATCACCTGAAGGTCCGGATCACTCGATGGTCGAGTCCGGTTCACCTGATGGTCCGGTACATCATGAAGTCCACCGTGGTGCATCGTGGGAACTTCCCGATGGAGCTCTCCTCTACGGGCGTGTACACTTTGATCTGCCTCATGTGAGTGTCTCTGCCGTTCTGGTGATTCGCCAGAACCGCGATCTGGATCATGAAAGTGCTGATCGGCTCGTTCGTCCGCTAAAAAAAACACCAACAATCAGATAAATATCTTTCATCCACTACTTCCTGTCAGAAAAACACAGATTTAATCTGGACACATCGGCGTCAGCTTCATATATAAATAAATGTAAATTATACATTTTATTCAGAACATTTTTACAAATGTTTTAGGTTTCTAAGAAAGAATCTAAATATCTGCAAATAATTATTACAGAATGTAAATTTACTTAAAGTCATTTCGTACCTGATTCATCAGAGAAATGTGAATCCAACCGCTGGGCTCCACCATCTCCAACTGCTGCAGGGAGGAGGAGGAGGAGGAAGAGGAGAGGAGGAGGAGATGGAGGAGGAAGAGGAGAGGAGGAGGAGGAGGAAGAGGAGAGGGAGAGGAGGAGGAGATGGAGGAGGAGGAGATGGAGGAGGAGGAGATGGAGGAGGAGGAAGAGAAAGAAGGAGGAGGAAGAAGACGGTGAGATGAAGCAGATGACTCTAGGTCTGTAAACAGTAATATTAATAAACATGAATAATAAATAGTATTAATAATAATTGTTACTCTGATCTCCTGCAGGTTGTGGAAGTTGTTTCCGACTCTCACTGAGATCTTACTCGGTGTGTAGCTCTCATCTGATTTATAATCTGCATAAATACACAACATCTTCACCGTGGTCCTCCTCCTGAGGAGCAACACAGACGAGAGGATCAACAGAGAACACAGCTCATGTCCATGATATCCCAGCATGCCCAGCGTTACCTGAACTGGATGTTGACGAGGTGAGGCTGCGACCCGTCTGACTGCCAGTACGTCTCCAGGTTGTCGTCTCTCAGCTGATCCACTCCGAACCCTGAACAAAGTGAAACATAAACATACATTATATATAAATCATAAAGAGTTCAGACCAACACATAACTCCGGACGTGTCTGTGAGCTGACCTGGTTTACAGGAGGACAGGGACCACACCGCCTGGGACCCGATCTCCCGGACCGTCCCGGTCCGCTCCAGCTGCTTCGGGTCGGCGCCGGGTGGAGTCTTACTCGGGGTGGCCATCTTTAACCTTTAACCGGGGAGACGAGGCCAACAACACAAGTTCACTGTTTAGTTCATTTAGTATTATTACTGCAGGATTAATAAAGTAACTGTCTGTCTGTCTGTCTACCTGTCTGTCTGTCTGTCTACCTGTCTGTCTGTCTGTCTGTCTGTCTGTCTGTCTACCTGTCTGTCTACCTGTCTGTCTGTCTGTCTGTCTACCTGTCTGTCTACCTGTCTGTCTGTCTGTCTGTCTGTCTTCAAGCAGACACACTCAGGTGTTTCTGAAGTAACTCTCTTTACATTTCCAGCATGTTGACGTTTACCTGCATATTAAAATATTAGAAACAATGACATCATCAAAGTTAACAGATTATGAGGATCAACACATCTTTAAGGGACATAAATGACACGTATCAAATTATTTAACGTTATTTACATTAGCAGGTGATGTAATCGCGGGTATTTGAAGACAAGAAGCTCAGTGAATATCAAACAATAGATTAAGATTTTATCAGCAGAATAATTCGTCGCTATTTTCTGGAACGCATTCAAAGTCAATGTGTGAGAAAACGTTATATTTTAACGGAGTTTGTTGTGGATCTCTGGCTAACTGTTAGCAACTCGTATCTCTTATTCCTCCACTAAAGCGAGTAAAACTAAAGCTTACGACATAAATATTATTAAAACTTACAAGTGTCTCCGATCTGTTGTGTTAAAGCATCACATGTTAGTCTAAAGGTGGATAAAGTACACAACGTTCAAATCCGTTTTGTTTTCTGCTGCATTCACTTCGAAATCTCCCACTTCGTTGGCTCCGTCCGGGTCGCTTTAAACTGACGTCATCGGTCGCGTTCTGATCACGCCTCTCCCGCCATCTTTTTTCCCAGCCGGCTTCCAGGAGAGAACACGTTGCTTGTGGAAGTTTAACTCTCATCTGTTCGTGTCTGCGCGTTGTTTCCCGGGTTTCTTTACTCGGACCGGTCAACGGGAGCAGAAGAGCGGTGAGTTCCTAACGTATCGACCGGGTGTTGTGCCTTTATTATCGGGGGTTTTGTCGCCATTTGAACGGGCAGCTGTCAGAGTGCGGGGCCTCCATTGCTAACGTCGTAGCTAAGCTAACAGCTAGCTTATTAGCTTAACAGCTAGCTTGTTAGCTTCGTTAATGTTCGTACTTAAACGGGGCGTTACAGCTTCTAGTTTACACATTTGAACCGCTAATTAACACACCTGCGTGTACAGGTGTGTTATAGATGATTGATGGATTTAAAGTGTGGTTGTTAAACACAGCTGTTTCCAGCAGAAGGGCCCCACAAGAGCAGATCACGGATCTTCAGATTAGGTTCAATAATTCACCAATTAAACGTTGTAATGATCTTAAACATGAATAAACTCGTGTAAACTCACGATGCAATATGTTAATTGTAATAGTTGTGAACTGGTTATGAATTCAGCTTATGAATGAGTGACGTATCAGCAGGTTATTTAAGGACAAACCACACGTTGGTGCTCGCGACCGCCCTTTAAGAGAATAATCAAATTTATGGTATACTTATGCACGTGCTACTGAATACGTAAAGGGTTGTAAGTCACGTGCTTGACTTGTACGTTCAAGTGTGCGAGGCGATGAATACAAAAGGCCAGACTTTTAAATGGAGTCTGGTGTGACTCACCCTCCCGAGGCCCTGACATGAACACACGTTACAGCATGAAGGATGAACAGCATCACATGGAGGTGGATCAGGATCAGGTGGATCCTGGTTCAGGGCCCTGGTGGTGGATCTGTGGCAGCCCCATTGTTAAAGGCTCTGCAGGTTTTGTTCAGAGTTGAATGTGTTGCTGATTGTGCAGCCTGAACACGAGCCTCTATGTTCAGATTGTCTGCTGGCTTTGCTACCTGAATATCACTCGTACCTGTTTACAACCAGGTACATGTGTCTGTGTTTACTGGTAGAACATGCTGGAAGCTCTCCCTCTCTTCTCACATGAATCACCATCACCTCTTCTGTCTCCTCCTTCAGCTCCACAGGAGTGAGCGTCCGTCATGGCGGATAAAAACACCAGGATTGCCATCGTCAACCACGACAAATGCAAACCGAAGAAATGTCGTCAGGAGTGCAAGAAGAGCTGCCCGGTGGTCCGCATGGGTGAGTAGTCCTCCAGCTGGTCTCCTTATTCAGACAGACTTATGTTTCCTGAAGTAGACTCAGTGTGTGTGTGTGTGTGTGTGTGTGTGTGTGTGTGTGTGTGTGTGTGCGCGCGCGCGTGCAGGTAAGCTGTGTATCGAGGTGACTCCACAGAGTAAGATCGCCTGGATCTCAGAGTCTCTGTGTATAGGCTGCGGCATCTGCATCAAGGTAACGACACCCGAGGTCTCAGTTCAGACTTTATTATGTAAAGAACATGTGATTGTTGCTCTTTAATCGAGAGGTTCAAGCTGTAATCGGAGGATTTATCACCTGGATCTGTTCGCCAGAACAATAGAAATACGTTTGTTTGAACTCTTTCTTCTGTCGTTGTAGAAATGTCCGTTCGGAGCTTTGTCGATCGTCAACCTGCCGAGCAACCTGGAGAAGGAAACTACACACAGATACTGCGCCAACTCCTTCAAACTGCACAGGTACGCCGCTTTAACTCCTCCCCCACGATGATGTCACGCTTACTTGTTTAGTGTTTTAATGTGGACGATGTTGAACGCAGCACGGAGACGATCATTTATGTTCTTTATCCAGATTGCCTGTTTACATTGTTTCTCTTTAACTTATCCATCAGTATTAACGAGTACTTTTACTTTTGTTTAAGTAGTATCTCAAATGCAGGACTCGTACTTGTTAAAGAAGTAAAAGATCTGAGTACTTAGTCTGAAGCTCACTGAGACCTTAATGCTGCTATGGTTTGATATAAAGTGTGTGTGTTTGTGTGTGTGTGTGTGTGTGTGCAGACTGCCGATCCCGCGGCCCGGTGAGGTTCTGGGTCTGGTCGGCACCAACGGTATCGGGAAGTCCACGGCCCTGAAGATCCTGGCTGGGAAACAGAAGCCCAACCTGGGCCGGTTCGATGTGAGTGTGTGTGTGTGTGTGTGTGTGTGTGTGAGTGTGTTGGAGGAGCTGCTGCTCTCACCAGATAACGTTCTGGGTGTCGCTGCTCACAGCTGCTGCTGTTCTCTTCTGACCGACCACCAACGGAAACATGCGTCGGTTCAAAGACTCCAAACTCCATGTTTGTGATAATGTCTGTTGTCCTGTGACGGTTAAAGACGGAGCTGTGATGTCTTCATACGCACTCTGATGCTACGTGACAACAGGTCTGTGTGGAGATCACAGAAGTAAACAGACGAACGTAGTTGTAATAAAAACAATCCACAGACGAATCGTCTCGATCATCGTGTGAGATCAACGAGATCAAATCCTCGACACACAAAGAGTTCTTTTCAAATGAATGTTTATTTCATCGTTTTGAAAGAAAAACATAGAAACTCACATATCGCATATAATTCTATATTTATACAGAAGCTTATTTAACTTTTTAAATGTTCTTATTGGATTATGACATTTAAAAAAAAATAATATTAATAATTATATAGATTTATATTATGTTTTATATGATATAAAATATATATATATATTATTTGTTTTTATATGATATAAAATGTATACATATATTATATTTAATATACATTTATATATATATACATAATATTTAAATAAAATATATATTATATATATATATATAAATAACATATTTTATTTATATATTTTATTTATATATATTATGTATAGTCTATTACAAAATAAATAAAATAATTCCTAAAAAATATAACCATAACAAAGTAAATAATGAATCCTACGACAGGAAGTCATGTCCCGCCCCCCTCTGCCTCTGATTGGCTCGTACTCTTCGTTGGTTCTGTTGGTCGGGTTAGAGTCCGACTATTGTTCTGGTTGTTAATAAGCGGTGCTTGTGCTCCAGAACCCTCCGGACTGGCAGGAGATCTTGACCTACTTCAGAGGCTCTGAGCTGCAGAACTACTTCACCAAAATCCTGGAGGACGACCTGCGGGCCATCGTGAAGCCTCAGTACGTGGACCAGATCCCAAAGACCGTCAAGGTAAACCAGTACACCGTGTGGTACCGCTACTCAGAGGGGAAGTACTTTGTACTGCTCTACATGTACGACTATGTATCAGCTGATCACTGAAGAATATACTCTTTCTAGTTCAAAACCTGAGAATGTGTTCTTCTGCTGATCTTGTTCTCGTTCTGATGGGAGGTTTTTTTAAATTTTATTTTATAAGTAATTCATTAATTCCTCTTGTAGGGGTCAGTCGGGTCCATCCTGACCAGGAAGGACGACACAGAAACACAGACCATCGTCTGTAAACAGCTAGGTAACACACACACACACCCTCAGACACACACACACCTTCCAATAGATAAACAACACAAGACAACATGTGACAGTAAAACAATGAAGAACGTGTAAAACAACAAGAATAATCAATCAAATGAACAGGAAACATAAATTAAACACTGATGAGGTCCGACCCCTTTCTATAACTTAAATACTACAAATACACATACACATAATTATTTCATTTATATACAGCTTCTTTTCTTTATTGTATTTTTAAATTGAACATTTGATATCAAAATAATTAAAATCCGGATTAATCGTTGTTGTTTTACGACTTGGCCATTAATTTAAATATGTTAGAATGTAACACAAAGTAATGGAACATGATGTGTTCCTCTTTAAATATTGTAACAATGTGACCACCAGGATCGTTAACATATTAATCCTTCTGTGTTGCGATTGGCTGTTTTTCCGCGTTGTTGCCGGGCAGATCTGACTCACCTGCGAGAAAGGAACGTGGAGGATCTGTCGGGAGGAGAGCTGCAGCGGTTCGCCTGCGCCGTCGTCTGCATCCAGAGAGCCGACATGTGAGCAGACGGACGCTCGTACGTTTCTCTCGTAACTTTAACTCCAACACGCGGACCGACGTTTCGTTTCTGCTTCAGTTTCATGTTCGACGAGCCGTCGAGTTACCTGGACGTGAAGCAGAGGCTGAAGGCCGCCATGACCATCCGCTCGCTCATCACACCCGACAGGTAACGAGATACTCCGAGTACTCCACGAGGTATTAGTACACGCGTGAAGTTATTGTACTTTACTTATAGACTCAACAGTTTATACAAGTAGTGATGAAACGTTGCTTTTCTTTTGAATAAAGTTAATAATAATGTATTAGTACTAATGTTAGTATTCGTAATAATAGTATCGTTTTTAGGTTTGGACTAAGCTTATGATCCTAAGTGTGTATTATGTCAGGATCAAAGTGTGTGTAATGTGTGTGTAATGTGTGCGTCTCAGGTACATCATCGTGGTGGAACATGACCTCAGTGTGTTGGACTACCTCTCTGACTTCATCTGTTGTCTCTACGGAGTCCCGAGCGCCTACGGAGTCGTTACCATGCCCTTCAGTGTTAGAGAGGGTAACACAACAGCACACACACACCGACAACACACAACACACACTGGGGGTGCAAATATTGACAAGAATATTGTTCCCACACACATATTTATACCTATGTGTACATATTATGTATGTTATATATTTATGTGTGTGTGTTGGAAGGATATTCTTGTCTATTTAAATATTTTGATATTGATTACAATTGTACCTGGCACACAGTTTTTATGTGATTATTACTGATTATCAGTAACTGAAAAGTGTTTCATCACAGTGTTGGACTCTAACAGCCGTTAACTACCAGAACCTCGTGGCTACAGAAGAACCCGTCGGATTGTACTGACGTGGTACTCAGGATGAATCGAATGTCTCAACGTTCCCCTCGGTTCCTTCAGGTATCAACATCTTCCTGGACGGTTACGTTCCCACGGAGAACCTCAGGTTCCGGGAGACCTCGCTGGTCTTCAAGGTGGCCGAGACGGCCAACGACGAGGAGGTGAAGAGACTCCGGCACTACCAGGTCTGTTCGCCTCCTCGTGTGTATCGTTAATAGAAACACAGGTTTCTGTGAAACTCTTCTCTCATGTTCGCTCCTTTTGTTCTTCAAGTATCCAGAGATGACGAAGACGATGGGCGACTTCAGCCTGGACATCAAAGCAGGGGAGTTCACAGACTCTGAGATCATGGTGATGCTGGGAGAGAACGGTAAGTCACTCAATGTCACTAAAAACTACAGACCTGTAGTCCTTTAATGAAGCTAGCTGGCCTCAGAGGAGGAGTGGCTTATCTCGATGGAAACCGTTAACCTCTACGCAATTTATTTCTGCTTCGTACTGGTTGTGGAAGTCTTGTCTGGTTCATAACATCATCCGGAGGAGCTCCGTCGAGTATTATTAGGCTTCATCCTCTTCATCATCTTCATCCTCTTCATCTAATGGTTGTGGAGACGTTTCATTCTGGACCAAAGCGATGAAACGACCGACGTTGGAGGAATTTCTTTGTGTTGAATGTTTGTTTGTGTGTCTGCAGGCACGGGGAAGACGACTTTCATCAGGATGCTGGCTGGAGGACTCAAACCTGACGGGGGAGGTGAGTCTCTCGCTCTCTCTCTGACCTGTTGTCTCTCTCTCTCTCTCTCTCTGACCTGTTCTCTCTCTCTCTC